TCTCCAGAACTTTGTCATGCTGCAGAACTGGGACTCTACCTATTAAACAACTCTCCATCGCCCCCTACCCCCAGCCTCTGGCAACCAAGTTCTACGTTCTGTTTCTATGATTTTTGACTACGTTAGATACCTCATATAAGCGGAATCATACATACAGCATTTGTCTTTTTCTGATGGACCTATTTCACTTAGCATAATGTCCTCAAGGTTCATCCTAGTCATAGCATATGTCAGAATTTTCTTTCTTTTTAAGGCTGAATAGTATTCCATTATATGTATAGGCCTCATTTTGTTTATCTATTCATCCAGTGATGGACACTGGATTGCTTCCACCTCTTAACTATTGTGAATAGGGCTGCTATGAACATGGGTTTGCAAATATCTGTATGAGCCCCTGCTTTTATCTCTTTTGAGTATATACCCAAAAATGGAATTGCTGGATAATATGGTAATTCTATGTTCAACTTTTTCAGGGACCACAATACTATTTTCTACAGCAGCAATACCATTTCACATTTTTTTCCCTCCATATCCTTGCCCTTGATTTTTAAATGTCTTGCACCTAAAGAGATTACAGATAATCTCTGCTCTTGGTCCCCACTATCACACGGGCCTTCTTTCTCTGAAAGACAGCTCATCTGAAAGATAAGGTCCATACTGTTTGGAGGAAAATCTAATAACTGACTGAGAACATGACAGTATGAAGCAACAAACCCAAATTGTTTAATACCAAATTTTGAAGACTGTAGGGCATTAACAGCTAATATATTTGAAATGAAAGATAGATTTTAAACCTGAATACAGAAAAGCCAAAAATATATATACATTCCAAAAGTCCCAAATGGTTTGTTAGCAACCAACAGTTTCACAAAGACTATATCCCTCTGCAGAAAATACCTTACCCCACTACTGCCACCCTTTAAATGTTTTAGAACAGCTGTCATGGCAGCCTTGCTAGATTAGAAATTGCCTTCAAGGAAAAGAGTCTATAAAATGGACCTGATGGTCTGTTCCTCCAGGCAGAATCCACTATTCACTCGTATAGAATAGTTAGGAAAAAGTACTTTATATGTCAATGATATGCCCACATTACTTGGGGTTTTTGGTTGGTTTGTTTTTGTTTTTGTTTTTTGGAGGGGAGGGATTTGTGGGATTAAGGTAACTATGGCGGGGAGGAGAGGAATCTGATGTGCACAAATAGGCACAGGATTCCGTCAAGATGATGTTCATTCCACCTCAACTTTAAGGACATTGAGGTAGCCAGCCCATTACCAACAGAATCCAATAGCAGCCTTTTTGTAGAAGCCCAGTTGTGCTTGATGTCTCAACTATTCCTTCATAGAAAACTGCATGCTTCACTTTTATTCTCCTGTGGCCAATTGATTTTATCATATTATAGAGCAACATGGCCATGGGAAAGATAATCCCAAAGCCATAAAGACTCAGGATAACTTTACTGAACTTGAAACACTACCGCAAAACAAATATTTAGGGTAAAATCTGATAAAGTGCAGGACAAGCACTCATTTTTCACTCAAAAATATTTTGAGCAGCAACAAAACTACATAATTATCAAAGTTCTGCTTTGCCTGTGCCAGATATTGTCCATTCATGCAGCAGCTTCATAAAATCACCCAGGGCTTCTATGTTGAATGCATGTGCCTACCTCATTGCTTTGAAATCATGGCATTCTAATTCAGCAGGATAATCTAAGTCATCAGAATATGTTAGCCTGACTTTGGTAGTTCTCCTAGGAAGACTTGTGTTTGTTGTGGTCTCTTTAAACATAAGGAGTCTGAGTTTATACATCATACTGCATCTCAACAAAAACTTCTTTATAACTGTCCCTCATTTCACCAAGTTATATTTGAAATTCAAAATGACATAAATACAGGATGTGATGAAAGTAGGTTTGCAGTTGTGAGTAGACAAAACAGAGTTTATTCTTGTATTATTATTAATTATTATATTATCTTCCATATGAACAAAAATAAACATACTTTTGCCTCACCCTGTAAATTTCACTTATGCATTTAGATTGATCAATTACTTCATAATTACAACTTGTATCTGCCAGGTATCTATATAAAAGATAGATATCTCTTTAGAAATATTGATGTTATTAGATTTTATGGCCTAAAGAAAAAAGTCCTTTCATTCATGATTTGCTCAAAACTAAGCCTACATTTTTGCAAAAGTTATACTGTATATATTCACATCCTAATAGAAATTCTTACTTTAGCAGTGGAGATATTAAAAATAATTATAATAATGTTCTGTGATATCATGCGATATAACAATGTCATTTAAAACAGGATTTTATTTATACTGCAGACTTTTCTAAATCCAAATTCTAGTTTGTTTCAAGGCTACTTTTATTTCAGTAAATAGTGTACAAGTGGCCTTTAAAAAAATGTAGAATAGCCTGGACTCTTTCCCAAGACCTTCCCACTGCATGCGTTACTGTTGCCCCTTTTTGGATCATGAGTGTGAATTACTTTCATGGCTCTTGACCATGGCCAAGATAACCTGAGCTTGCTTTCCATCTCTAATAATAATTATGTTCTATATAATTATTATGATGATGATCCTTTCTTCTCAGTAGAAATGTGACTGGACCAACCCCCAGAAGGACTAGCCTCTTATTCCTCTGACTCAGATTTTCTTCTCTTGCAGATTGGATTTGAGGACTCTCCCCTCCAGGGACAGGCTGCAGCTACAGGGAGTGGGAATGGAGCTGATTCTGAGCCAGCTCGCCATGTCTTCTCCTTTTCCTGGTTGAATTCCCTGAAAGAATGATGTTCATTCCAACTGCTGTCCCTCTGTCTGCCTGGCTGAGATGCATACAGGCAAGAGAGAAACTAGATGAAATTAATACGATACAGATGATGAAAGGGACCTCTGAACAAGATTTCTGCCAAAAAAGTCTTTAATTCCAGGCGACTTATCTGACACATGAAGGGAAAACAGTTTCAGAAAGCATTGGGAAAAAGAAACTTGGTCTTATGCAAGTCTTTTATTGTGTGGGAAGCATTATGAAGGAGGTGTAAGTGTGGTATGTATGAGCGTGTGTCAGTAACAAGTGGCAAGTGTTGAAAAAAGTGGGTACTACACTCTTGTCTCTGATAGGCACTGGTTTTTGTTATTATATCATAGTAGCTCTTATTCTCTTTCCTTTTAAACAATGCAGAGGGTCAGTGAAGTATTAATTCAGAAGTGACTGATTTATCAATACATGGACAAAAGGTAAATCATTGACCAAAGGCATGAAATGTTTCACAAAGGTCTTCTCTTTTCCATAACATATATCACTGGATGTACATCCAGAAATGTTCTTTGACTCTAGTGACACTTTCATAGTCCAGAAGGCTGAAGGTCTAGGACATTTCTTGTGACATTTTTCTAATCTTAGTTTTAGGTATGCAGATATCAGTCACTTTAATTGAAAAAAAACTTTCAACAGGAACTGTCTACTTTCTCATGTATCCACTGAGACACAACTGCATGTATTTAAATATATATACGCACAATACTATATATGTATATATATTTAAATGTTTTATTTGTCCCACTATAATGCCTCCTTCAGAACATAAGTATAACTTTACTCTGTATGAACTCTTAAATAAATGCTGTTTTTAACAACTTAGTCTTATAGTGATTTATTCAGTGTTTTGTAAATCCATTAGTCAAGTATATTTAAAGGTCTTAAGGGAGGAAGCACCTTCATACATCCAAATTAATTTTAAGGAATTAAACATTCAACAAAATTTTTAAAGTTATAACTAAACTACCAAAGGTGAATGCATTGTAAAACTAATTCATTGTGTTATTTGATTTCAGAAGTGAATAGAGATAGTTTACATTTCTAAGAATTAAAATGATTAGGGTTGGCATAGACATAAATCAGGAGGGTATTTGTGGAGTTACTAAAGTCAAAATATTCTTTATAAAAATTTTTCCCCCAGTGCCATTTTATAGCAACTAAATTTAGTTGTTTTAAGTGGAGAGGCTAGCAAGTTTATCCTATTAGAATTAGGCATTGGGAAATACTTAGAAAAAGTATTTTATGGATAATGTGTGAGAACTTCTCACAGAAAAAAAAATGCAGCATTTTGGCCCTATGGTTTGGAAAAATCTCCTTAGTCCTCTTTTCCTTTCCTCCTTCCCCAAACCTCCCCAATTAGTTTGCATCTTATAGTTAATCAGTCATTTCCATTATGAATTGATCTTAGAGCTGGAAGCAACTTCCCAAATTATTTAACTCAATATCAGAGTAGTAATCTGAAGTACAGAGATGAACCCAAAAAGATCACAGGATCTGTGTAAGTCACTGACTTTCATTTGTATTTGTGATAGAGAAAAATGCAAGGGGTTTTGTTTTTTCTTGTGTTGAAGTCAGTTCAGAGGAAGCTAGGAGCTGAGAGTTTTGTGGGGGTTTTTTTGTTTTGTTTTGTTTTGTTTTGCTACAGGCATTGAAGAGGAAAAACAAAGTCATAATTACCTTTGCAACATTTATTAAAAATATAACTATTGAACATTCTCTTACACAACCAAATTGTCCAAGGACTGGAAGGATGTTTTATCACTGAAACATTTACAAGGAAAAGTTGATTCAAAGAGCCTACAAATTTTCTCTCACCTACACAAGAGAACGATGTTCTCTTTGGCTCACACCACAACAAAATCAACTGGGTGAACTTCTCTGTGCTTCTTCAAAACGTTTCCTCCTGCATCTACACTCTTTTAAACACCACTAAAGACACCTGGAAATGGAAACTAAAAGTACACAATACAAATGCCATTTTGTGGCTGTTACTGCACATGAATACACTTTGTGCATGCTAATTAAGGAGTAGAGACGCTCTTGCTGTACATCCTCTACATTTCAAGCTATATAAAAATAAACAAATGATATCAGAGCAAAGCTATGATACAGAATACTGTATTATTTTTATTTTTGTTGTAAATGCAGAATCTTTTTGGCCAAATGCACCGTTTCATTTCCCAACAATCTCCATCAGTTTCCTGTTGCTGTGAGCTTGCTGCGCTAACTGCTCGGCCCTGGCCAGTTCCAAGACTTCTCGGAGGAGGTGGAAGGTGAGATCCAGCGAGATGGGCGCTTCCTCGGATCGCCTCTCCTTTTCTGGCGCCTCCTGGCGACCACCGAGGGCGCTCTCGGCCCCGCGCCCCGCGGGACCCGAAAGGCTGTCGAGCGGGCGCCGGCGCTGCGACTGCTGCAGCAGCAACAAGCGAAAAAAGTTGTCGGCTGCCTGGTCCGGAGAGGGGCGTCTGCCGCTGCGGCCCGCGATGGGCACAGAGGCCGACCAGAGGGTAGCGGCGGGGCTCTTGTTAGGGTTGCCCTGGCGGAGGAAGTATTCCTCCCCCATCCGGAGCTGGACCGGCCGAGACTGCGGCTGCTGGGGCTGCTGGGGCTGCGGCGGCGGCTGGAAGAAATCCAGGGGCTGGGGGAGCTGTGAAGCCTGCCGGGAGCCTGGGCCGGGCCCCCGGATGAGCAGGGCCCTGCATGGCGCGCAGGGCAGGAGGGCCAGGAGCAGGACACCCGCGGACACGAGCAGCGGCAGTCTCATGTTAGGGGCGCTAGCTGCAGCACAGAGGTGGGCAGAGGGCGAAATAAGAGAAGGAAAGGGAGAAAGAGAGTTGGTCAGAGTTGAGCTCAACAGGAGGTGCACTGGGGGGAGGATAAGGGGTCTTCTTACAGGGCACCTCAGACACGGCTGGGGGCGCGGGCGGGCGCTGTCCGCGGTGCTGAAGCCACCGACCTGGGACTTCTAGAGGCAGAGTGAAGGGGAAATCGGGAAAGGCGCGCCTGCGGGGCAGCCGTAGCGCAGCCCCTCGCCAGGCTGGAGTGACCCTTCTCCATCCGAGGCCCCTGCAGGCACGATCCCAGAATCCCCTTTCTAACGACCCCTAAAACTGATTTCTCGAGCTCTAGAGAAGATCTATAAATTTAAGATCTCAACCCTTCTAAACCCCCACTCCTTTCCGGATGTTTCCGCGTTTTCCTCTAGATTGAGAACTTCTGCCTCCTCCTCCTTACCGATCCCTGCCCCAGCGTCCTTCCTTTGGAGATGGGGAGCTATGGGGTGCTCATCGACACCGCCAGCGAGGAGTAACTGGAAGTTGGGGGAACGATGAGTAGCCGTCTAAGTTTGTTTATGCCACATCCCAGCTAGTATACGGATCTTGAGGCACAGTCAGCAAACACACACACGAACACACACGTTCCCCACCCACCCCCCGCCCCCACGCCCTCCCGCCCGCGGGCGCAGGGACAGCGGCAGCGGCTCCTGGCGCGGACTGCGCGGGGGCAGCCCAGGCAGGGCGAAGTTGGAGGCGCCTTTCCGTCTAAGCGCTCCCTACCTTCTGAGGCGCTGCTGCAGAGGAACGTCTCCGGGTTTTTCTTTTCTTCTCTCTCTTTTTTTAAAGGGGCTTTCTTTCCTTCTCCTTTCTGTTTCCACTCTGCTTTTCTTTCCCTCTTCTCTTTCTCTTCACTCTCTCAATGGACGTGGGCTCTGAGTTTCTCCACACCAGAGCCTGGAGTGGGCTTTTATAGCATCGACCCTCTTCAGAAATCACGCAGCATTTGCCTAATAAGCTGACGCTCTCTTGACAGCTCGATTGCGTGCTGCCTCTGCTCCTGCATAAATCATAAGGCCCTGCCAGGGAACCAGGGGCAGAATTTTTGCTATCTCAACACTGAATCTCACATCCAATTATATCAACAGATATTTATCGCCTCCTTGGTGACGTCAACCAGCCCTAAAATGGAAGGATTTCTTATGACTTGTCCATTGACAAAAATTCTTGAATGAGATTTCCCAAGTGTGAAAACATATTGACCTCTTACTACGAAAGGCCAATTTGAGGATCAGAATAAGAGACAGCGAATGGGAGGAAGGGAAAGTTCAAGGGGAGGGAGGTCTATCAATGCAGTCCTGCAGAGAAAGCAACCATTTATAGCAGAGGTTCTGGATCCTCCTCTGCCCTTGTCCTCCTAACTTCTCTGACCCAAGCTGTCTTGGGCAATACCTCAGAATCTGAAAATATCCCTTTGCTGAGAGACAAAGTGTTCCATCGCCTTCCTGCCTGGATAAGAATGGAGAACAAGGAGATGGGACTGCAGGGATACTCAGTTTTTAAGCCTTCATTTGCTTTTTCTTTCCAAGAACATATAACAGACTTATGCATCTGCAGCAGCGAGACCAATAAGCCTCTTAAAACACAGCTCAGGATTTTTAAATAATGGTGAGAGCTACTCCCATGAAGAAGGGGCACAAACCAGGTTCAGTCTGGGGTGCAGCAAAGATCTTAAGTTCTTCCAGAACCTTATTGCTCCTGCTTTGTTTCTACTATCAGAATCTGAAAGTAATTGTGGATTTTTCTATTCCCAAATTAGAGAGAGAAAGGACTAGTGAGAGGTGTATGAATGCAACAATCTTTATTTAGGTTACTAAGTGCAAACCCAATGAGAAAAGCATCTGTTAACTTCTTTTCTATATTGGAAAAGGCTTAAACTTCTTTTTAACAGAGCATGTTTGCATTGATGGATATTAAATCTGTTAAAAGGTAAACTACTCATTTTACTTCCAAATACTATTAACATCTACTTTAGTATCCATATCAGGGGCACCTAGGGTGCTTTTTTTTTTATTATTAATCATTTCTTTTTACAAATTCAAATGTGCTCCATGGGAGGCTGATAAAGAAATAAATGCTCTCTGGCAATACCACAGAATGGAATGCCTATAAAACCACACTCACATTTTGAATTAAATTGATACTCCCATATAGGTGGGAGACAGTTACCTCTAATTCTGCAATTCAAAATGCAATGTCAAACTCTAGTATCTACAATTCAGCTTCGCGATACCCATCAGAGTGGCTTATCAGAAATTTCCTCATTCCTCATTTCTGGTACCTCTTGCTACTTTCCTTGTAGCTAATATGACAAATGATGCAATGCACATTTCGACTGCTCTTAGAAATAAAAGGAAGATAAAAAGAGAAATTCTGGCACTTTCCAGGGAAGTCAGCCCATAGTTGGATCATTATGCAATGGAACGTTCTTTTGACATGAGAGAACAGAGAAAGAAATGTGTCTTTAGGGAAGGATGTAAGTTGTTAGTAGAAGACCATGATTATGGAAAATGGTTGAGATTTTAGAGGAAAGCTGTGTTTTATGTTGGTAGCTAACATACAGAACCTTACTTTTTATTTTTGTGGGTTTCTATCCCTTTTAAGTTGGAATGAATCTCATCTTTTTTGCTTACTTTTCTTTATGAACTCTTCTCTGTTCCCATTGGCAGATGTCAGCTTGGATGTCACTCTGGAGGTGGAAGTAGATTCAGAAAGTGAAGTCTGAGTAAATGGATGCAGAAGGTGAACAAGGAAAGGGATAAGACCAGTGCATTAGCTAGGGAGGCCTGGGGGGCTCCTCCAGAGAAGACACATGTTTGGAGCTTATCTTATTGGGCCGTATGGGGGATGTTGTTTCAGTAGAGCTCTCTCCTCATTGTTGAATCCTTGCTGTGAGATTTTCCTAGAGTAGGTAGTTAGTTAGGGACAAAGTGGCTCTAAGAGTGAGGAACAGGAGGCCTATACCCCAGAGGAACAGGCACTAGGCAGAGTAGCCCCTCCATACCCACAATTTATCCCAAGTTAGTTCTCATCAAATCACTGAATGTTCACCTTAGAAATGACTTGAAGAGATCATTTGGTTTAAATGAGAACCAGAGAGGTTAATGACTTACTTGAAGTCACTCAACTAGTTACTAGTAGTTCTTTTCACTACCAGCTGCATTATTTCTGTAATATAACAATACTCCTAGAACTTCCTTTTCCAGCAGAGATACATGAATATACTTAAGTGAGAAGACAAATTTAGGTAAAGTGTCATATTCACACGATAATCCTGAGGTATCTTTTCTTAGACTTTCCTTATATTGATAAATCTTATCACATATATATATCTCCTTAGGCACAAGAACACAGAGATTTCCTGTCCATGTTGATGCCGCGACACCAAATTTTAAGTTTCTGTGTGCACACACTGCAATTTACCTTTAAGCTGAATCTTATAACAGGAAGTTTTTAAATGCATTGACAACTTATGCATTAATTTTGATAAAGTATAGACTGATGTAGTTCTCAAAAATAGTGATATAGATGTATGATTGGAAAAATAACTTGTTGCAGAGGACTAATGTGTGCAGTAAACTAAATGCCCACCTCCGTAAAAATCACCACTGACAGACTACCTTACATGTAGGAATAACTTTTTGAAAGGCGTCTTTGGAGAACCAATTTAATTAAAACATAATATACGGTATAGTTAAAATTAAAAGGACACGGCAGAGCAGTCCAATGAACAAAGAAATATCAGAAATAATAGGTAACTGCTAGGTTTATTCCTGTCATCTTCATCTCCTTGCCCTTTTGAGGAGTATCCCAATGCATGCTTCTATTTGCAAAGTTCATGGCAAACAAAGAGAGTCTCCAAGTTTGCTACTGAAATATTTGTTGAAACAAATTTACCATCTCCAATGACAGCCTTTAAAAATGGCTAGGGTGGACAAGTAGTTTGGTAACTGCTTGTAACTGTGCTTTAGATGGACTAATAGCTAACTATCTCTGCTTCCATAGGAAGGGCTAGGAAAGGATCTCAAACAGCATAAATATCTAACTGGTTCACAGGTAACAGTAACTTCTACTCTCTTCTGATTATCAAAGCTATTCATCTTCCTTGTAGAAAACTTGGAACACTTAGAGGTATAAAGAAGAATACAAAATTCCTCAGATTCTAGAATCTAAAGACAATCTCAGTTAATATTTTGTTATTTTCCTTGAGAAATATTCCTGAGTTTATACATTTTACTTGAGGTAGGACTGTGTTCCTAATTTGAATCTCTACTTTAAAAACAAACAAACAAACAAACAAACAAACAAAAACCTCTCTTAGTTAAGAGGAAGCTAATTGGCTGAAGGAATTTTTTCCAGATTCCTAGATTAAGTTTAGGACCTGTGTTCTGTGTTCATCTAACATCACGAATGTCCATCATATATATCACATTTTAAAATCATTACTGGTACAACATGCATTTTCCTTGCTGAACTGTAAACTATATAACAGAGATTTTATTGTATTTATGAACTTCCATATTAATTACTCCAGCCCTAGCAAGTACTAAAACATGGTAGATATCCAACAAGCCTTTTGCATAGATAAACTATAGAAAAGTTGTTGAATGAATAAAGTATAAAACAACCATTCATAAGCCTATTCAGCCAGAAATAACTAGATATTTTATAACTAAAATTTTATAACCTACTTTTTTCACTCAAAACTATATTTCAAACATTTTCTTACATCTAAATGATGTCCATTTTATTAACAGCATGGTATTCCATCAAGAGATGTGTCACAATTTCTACTTATTCCTCACTGTTGATCACCATTCTAATAACTTGTTTTTTAATTTTTCTTTGATATCTTACTTTTGCACTTTTAAATATTATTCCCACAGAATCATTTCCTGGTCCTTCAAATATGAACATTACAAGTTTACTC